CTGGATGCTCAAATGTCTTTTTCCTGTGTTTTCATAGCTCCATATAAGCCATTTTTTTCTTGGTCTCCTAGCAACCTGTATGGAACCCTGGTTTATCTTCTATCACTAGAGGGGGTGACAGCCTTCCAGAAGAGGCCTCCTCCCTGCAGCTCTGGACAGTGTCAGCCTTGGCTGAGAAGGGCATAAGGTGCCTTTCTTTCAGATCCCAGCAGGCTGCTGTGCTCCCACACTGTCCCCTGGAGCAGTACAAACTGGAGCCTGCCACCCCTCCCCTCCCTAACCAGTTCCATGCAGCAGGGTACACAATAGGATTACTTATTGCTACACTCTCTCTAACCAGCCAAATCCCTCAGGAGCTCTCAAGGAGCTCTTGCTGCCTGAATCCCTTCTGTTTATTAGTTATCTGACATGCCTTATTCACTGCTCAATGTCAGGCCTTGGGTCCCCTTTCTCTGTATTTCAGTGCTCTTTTTATGCTCTGCTCCATAGTCTTAATCCTTGAAAAGGAGCAAGGTGGTGTGGAGAGGGAAGACTAGGAAGGTGGCATGTATTCACTTTTGATGCTCTTCTTAGCCAGGTGCAGGGATATAAAGCCTGAATCTGGTTTAGGTTTTTATCTAAGTGACCTGGAAGTCTATGCTACCTACAGGTGCTGTAAGAGCAGGTGATGCCAGGACTGTAGGCAAAGACCCACAAGAGGCAGGATTTCATTACAAGAGTTACATTGACTCTCCTTAAAGTACATCATACTTATACACATGTCCATCAATTAATTAGTTATATTAGAGATGTCAAACCTTTAACTTCCTAAATCTCCCTGAGACTTCTCCCCTTCCCCTTCTTTGATATGTTCCCTGCCAGCCTGGGATTTGCTGATTAAAAGATAGTTTAAGGCAGAAGGTGACCCACTGCTATTAGCAGCTGTTTCACCTTTGAATTTCCTGAGAATTCCTGAGACCATCTTTCCCAGACCTGCTAATTCCATATGTTTTGCACAATCACTTTTATTTTGGGCAGATCCTTTGGTTCCACCACAAACCAAGATTCTTGTGTGTGAATTTCACCAATTTATTCCGTTGTGACAAATAATTAATTTAGCTTTGTTTTCATGTCCTTATTCTCTCTGACTGCTTATTTTATACCCTGCTCTTCAGTTGCCCTCAAGGCAATATATAAAATATAAAAGGGTTCAAATAAGTTCTGACACCTTTGGCTTTGTTATGGTTTTGCAGTTACTGGAGGTCACACTCATTTCAATTTTCCTCATTTGGCTGCAAGGGCAGCTTGTTGAAAAATGCATATTGATAATCCCTTTGGGAAATAATTTTAGTCATGTCAGCTTCATTTTACCTTTTGTCAAATCTTCTAAAGAGGGTCTAGGTATTTGGGTGGCCAGTGTGATGTCCCTATGTAACCTCCATGTCACTTGTGATGACTCACAAGCCTTCAGCTCAATTCCCTCAGCTGCCCCTCTCTATTCGAACTGGCTTGTAAGAAGTGTGTCATTTCCCCTGCAGCTTCCACCACAGCTCTGGTCAATTTAAAAACAGGATTTCTTTTGGAGTGTGTGGGGTCATACCTTTAGGATTCGAGTCCTACCCTTTGCCTATAAATTTGAATTTAACTCTTCAGGTTCAGCTGGATTTTCAAAAGAAGTAAGGCATGTTCAATAGTACAGTTTCACCTGCTTACATGGACCTGCATGCTAAACCGGGTGATGCTGGTTGTGGGGTGAAAGGCTTGCAGCTATCACCTTCTTCAAATCTCACTGACAGGTACAGGAGAAAGAGCATTAGTGCCTCTGCTGCCTTCTCTTTGGGTCAGGGACAAATGGTGCCCGTGGAGCTGGCAGAGCAACCAGTAGCTGGAGCATGAGTAAGGAGGGAAAGCAGAACTGTAGGAGTCCCAGTAAGGAACTGGGGCTTGTGAGGCATGTGGGAGCTGAGAGCATGGGAAGAACCTGGTGCTGTGGGGTAGGGCTGAGCTGAAAGACATCTATGGGGAAACACAAGTATTGTGGGAGGACAAGGGAGTGAGCAGAACACAGGAGAGGGAGGGGAGTAACTGCAGAACAGCAGTGAGAATGCAAGGAAGCAAAACATGAGTTTTGGGGGGTTTTAAGCAAGTTTTTTTTAAATTATTTTTTCAGCACCACAACTAACTGCAGGGTCCAGCCGTTCCTGTCTCCCACTCATTTACATGCCTTTGGTGCATATGAAATTCAAAGGATGAATTTTTCCCTCAGGAATATCATGTGATTGTTGTTGCACATTGGCTCAGCACTGCATCCTATGGAACTATGATTCAGGGTTTAATTTTGATAGCAAGCAATAACTCTGTTGGCTGACAAAGAAAAATTGAGCTGTCTACTGATGTTTGAGTGCAGTCTAATGTAATCCAATAAAAAGGGCAGCTAGAGCCTGATTTTGCATTTGAAATGCCTCGGCTGTGTTCGGAGATGTGTTTCAATGGAAAAAGCTCATGAAGCTGCTCTGTAACTTCCTTCTCTGACTGCTGATTGTGTTTCCTGTTTCTTCACAGTGGAAATATTGAAACCCTACCAGCAAGTAAGCCTTTTCTACAGAAAAGGAGAAAAGGCAGCAGACTGGGTCTGCTGAGGCTTGGTTTGGTGGGGACAGGAGGAAGCATGCAGAGGATTGCTCTGAATTCTCAACAAGAAATTTGAGGGCTTAACAAGATTTCAGCAGACACTTAGGAAGGCTTAATTCTAGTGAGAGGGCCAAGACTGAAGACAAAGGATATTGCTGGAAGGATGTTGGAAAGGGAAGCAGGCAACATGCTTGCTTGAGGCTTCTCTCCTGCAGCTGTTCTTATTCTTGTGTAAAAGTCACCTTCTTTGCATACAATACGTAAAGGAGAAGTAAAGTTTGCTCAGGACACTGTCACGATCCGCTATTAATACAGAGCGGGGGTTGTGATGGTTCTTTAGATCTTAAAGGTGCAAACAGGCAAAATGCAGGGGACAAAATCAGTTTATTCAAAAGCAGAAAATCAGTTTATTCAACAACAGCAATGCATTTCATCAAATGCCAACAATTCAGTTACGATAAAGGGGAGAGGTATAGGAAACAAAGTATAGGGAGAGGGGAAGGAAAGGAAGGGATGGGAAAATAGCTACCAACAGACGAGACGGGCGTCCTCACGGGCCAGCTGATAGATGAGTCTTCGTCTGTGGGGAGATCTCAGGGGTCTTCTCCAGGGGGTAGATGGGTCTTCATCAGTGGAGAGATCTCAAAGGGTCTTTCTCAAAGGGTCCCTCTTTTATAGTCCTTCTCCAAAGCGAGTGGCCTCTGGCCAAGAGGTGGGAAGATTTATGGACCATTGTGTGGTGCTGCAGGAGACAGGTACAGTCAAGCAGTCCTCAGTTGGTACAACACAACCTCTGGTTGGTGCCACAACAGCACAATTCAGTGAACACAATACACCAGCACACAGTCACGGGCATCCACCTGGCCTGGCCAGGAAACCATTGTTGGGAGTCAGCCTGGGTGGGGGTCCCCGAGGTCTCCTTGCGACGGACGGGAGGCAAAATCAAGGGGAACTTCGGACCAACCCTTACAGACACACAAGACACAAAGAGGGTCCTTGGTAAAGACATCTAGTTACATATGCCCCACTCTGTTTAGAGGCAGTTCTCCATAATCTGTGTTCAGATTCCCTTTAGCTTCTGCCACATTGTTCCCCTCTGTTGTCTGGTGCGTGTTCTTCCTTCTACTGCCCTATCCCAGCTTCACCTGTGCTCTGGTTACCCTCTGTGCTCTCTGGATGTCCTGTGAGCATCTCATTCGGCTCTGCCATAAGGGAATTCCAGCTAACCAAACTAGCCAGCTTCTTCCTTCTGCTTGTTTTGGAGACCTTGTTGTGGCTTTCCAGCACTTAGAAGGGGCTTATAAGAAGGATGAAGAGAGCTTTTTGGCAGCAACTGTAGTGGTAGGATAAGGGGTAATGGGTTTAAACTGAAAAAGCCAGATCTAGATTAGATATAAGGGAGAAATTCTTTACAATGAGGGTGCTGAGACACTGGAACAGATTGCCCAGAGAAGTTGCAGATTCCCCTTAATTGAAAATGTTTAGGGCCAGCTTGGAAGGGGCCTGATGTAGTGCAAGATGTCTTTGCCCATGGCAGGTGGGCTGGAGAAGATAGTCTTTGAAGGTGCCTTCTGGCCCAAATCTTAGTCCTATCTACTGACTGAATCCTCCTCACCCTGCATGACTTACTGGCATCT